GGAATTTAGTTTTGAGTCCCAAGTAACGTCCTCAAGGATCTTAATTATCAACTATCACTTCATAATTTGACAATTAGTTAAGCCATACAATTGATTTGGAAGGTTTGTAACATGTAAAGGTAAGAAACAACAACAATAGAAAGTTATTAAAGTGTTGTAAAACAGAGTTATGAATTTTTGTTAAAATGTTATGTGGAGAATAGTTAGGAATTACTTCACCATATTTTCAATTGCAATCTAATCATGTTCTGGACTCTTAAGAATTTTAATTGATTGATAATCAATTTCACTTATTTAATCAAACAACAATTCATTGCCTCATTAATCCTAATATATAACTAAATTACCATAATTCCTTAGGTGTAATTCAATTAAATATTGCATTAATCCTTAGAAATTATAGGATTACAAGGTTATAAATACTTATCCCTAAGATATCATTAACCTTGGCATATGATTCAGATCTGAGAAATTAACTCAATTTTTATTGATAAAAATTTCTCTAAGTTCAATTCAATTGAATGATTAATCCAACAATTGCATTAAAAATGGAATCAATTGCTTAAATCAATTAAAATCTCAAGGTTAGATCTACAATTAAATTACAATATCAAATCTAGATCCATAAATCCCTAACAAAAAAGGTTTAAAACAACATTACAAATAGAGAAGGAAAAGACAAAAAGAAGAAAAAGACCAGTAGAAGAAGAATATCTTCAAAAATCCAATCATCAACTTGATTCCTCAAGGATTGAAGCCTAAAAGTCTTCTAATCTCTCTCTCTCTCTCTCTCTAACTCTCCTAAGAAGTTAAAATGAATGGAAATAAAAAAAATGACAAGATTCCTAATCTGAACTGTCAACCACTTTTTTATAATTTTTTCGCCACTCTCTATATTGACACTTTATTCACTTAAAGTTGTAACATATAAGGTTTTCTAGAAGCTTTTAAGGCTGAAGTGAGAACTTTAAACGCTCAAAGTTGTCACTTGAGAGTAATTTTTTCCATGTCTGATGTTGCGCGTTAACACTTTAAGCGCATAGAGCATTAACGCGTAAACCTTTTATCTGGATTGTGTCTGCGCGTTAACACTTTGAGTGCATAAAATGTTAACACGCAAGCCTTTTCTGAGATTTTGCCTTGTGTGTTATAACTTCAAACACCTAGAGTTGTAACGCGCAAACTCTTCATGGATTTTCGCTGCTGGAGTGTTCACTTTAAGCACCAGAAGTTGTAACGTGCAGGCTCCTCATGGATTTTCTTCTCCAAAGTGTTTACTTTGAACACTTAAAGTGTTCACTTTGAACTTCCACACTTCTGAAAACCTTAAGAGTTATCACTTTACGCACTCAAAGTTTTAATGCCCAGCATATATGAATTAATTCTTCACTTTTTAAGCCCAATTCTTCCACTTTCTTTATTTGGGTCTTAACTTCAAAATCTCCAACTCAAACTTCTGCACAAAATTAACCTTTTTAGCATAATTATTCCAGAATTGAGATAAAATCTAAAACTCTAAACTATTTATATAACTTTGAATATAAATGCAATTTTTATGGTATTTTCTGATTTATTGATTATTTAACTACTTATTTACTACTAAAAACTAAGATAAAAATGTAGTAAAATGTAGATTTATCAAAGAGAAAATATAAAGAGTTTGAGTTTGTTAATTTAATAATGATTGAAAAAGAAGAACTAAGTTTAGTCTACTTAATTCTTTATCACATTACCATATAGATTCATTAACTATATGTGGTACGGTTGCCTATAATATAATTAATTATGGCATGTTGAGAGTTATCAATTCCAAACATAAAAATATACCATAATCAGATAAAAACTAATCAATAAAAGGAACTGAACTTGTTCTTAAGCATAAAGATAACATTAAATCATGTAAAGGATCCATCACAACCCTATCTATGGATTTAGATAGACACAATGAAATAGGATATAGAAATAATAGCAAACAAATCTATAATCATTTGAAAAGTAAACGCAAACTAAAGGAGATCTCATTAAAGAAGAGATGAGAAGAGTTATTGTTCCTAAGATGGGCTTCTAAGCTCCCAAAGTCGTCAAAGGTCAACTCAACCAAGATTCCTAAGTTGCAACCTTCATTCTTCTATAAATAGGATTCCAAAACCCTAAAAATACTTTAGACTTAGATCACCCGCTAAAAATTACGGTCATATAAGCTCATAAACATGGTCATGCATATGGCTACAAAGTACTCATGTGCTAGAAACAAGGACGTGCTTGTTACAGCATGGCTCTACTTTCCATCTATTTTGGGCCCAAAATACTTTTAGAATCCAATTGTGATCTTCTCGTGCTAAAATACATAATTAATATATAAATCAATACAAAATATCTCTTAAACAAGGGCCATGCATGTGAATATAAATTATAAATTTATATCAAATTGCAAATGTAATATCTTTCAACTCCAACTCTATTTTTTGCAACATTAAACATCATACTGAAGACCCAAAAAAGAGCTTCAAAATAAAGCAAGAGTCTATACGAATGCAGTCACTACAGAAAAATTATGAAGGCAATTTATTATGGCTCAAAGATCTGCTTTTTGCAAGATCAGACATTAGACTAAACCCTTGGAAAAGAGCTTTTTAATGAAGTAGCAATCACTTCAAAACTCAACTTGTGACTCAAGATATCATAAAAACAGTGCACATAGGTTACAGACGCCAAAAATCTAGATGGGTGTAGTCGTTGTAGACACAAATTGCAAAGGTAATATCTCTCAGTTCTAGGCTACATTTTCATCAAGATCTGACATCACACTACTAAAGTCCTAGAAAAGAGCTTTCCCATGAAGCTATATCTTTTAACTTCGAGCTTTTCATTAAAATTAAACATCATGACTAAGTCTTAGAGTTCAAAACGAAACATTCAATTTTTATTGGTAAAACATATAAAATGATGTTATTTTAAAAACACCTTTTATCAAACAACAATTCTCCTTAAAAATTTATGATGATGGGATAATCACATAATAAATAAAGTAAAGAAATTATCTTTAAATTTATAAAAATCAATTACCAAACACCTTAATCTTCTTCAAAATAAACTTACCAAATTGATTATCTTAAAGAAGATTTTTCAAACTCAATTGAAAGAACCAACAACCCAAATTAACATAAAAATTTTACTAAATCATATTCAATCATTTATTTTTTTAAATTTCCCATGTGGCTATAGACAACAAAAAAAATATATATAGTTAATTTCTCTTATAAAAAGAATTGTAAGAAAAAATAAATTTTTACCAAAATTAGGCCAATTCAAATGAATAAAGAATTGCTTCAAATTTGTTAAAAAGAAGTTAAAGATCTCCTATGAAAAGTATTAATAAGAAAAATAATCTTTAGTCTTGTTCTATTTTCTACATCAATAAATAAACTAAAATAGAATAAGAAATTCATCATCTAGTTATAAATTATAAGCCATTAAATTAAGTTCTTCAATATAAAATCAGAATATTTTTAACATTCAAATTAAGAAATATGATAAATATAAAAAATAGTTTTCTTCGGTCAGATTACATCAACTTTGCCTTGGTTCAGACTCCACCTTTATTATCTTAAAATAATTTCTCTTTTACCCATTTTATTAAACTCAATTTTCAAGATTAATAATAATAAATAATATCAAGTTACTTCCCAGCCAACTTTTTTAAAATTACTCTAGAACCTTTTATAAATATTAAATTTTATAATTCAACTATTAAATTGAAAATTCTTTTTAAATAAATTAAACATATAAAAAATCATACAAATAAAAAATTATGCATACCTATGAACATATAATATAAGTACATATATTTTATTAAATAGACAATAGTTCAATAGATAATTGTAATGTGTGTGTCTCCGGGGAAAACATGCTGATATTACTTTCATGATGAACCCACGCATGCTCGAATCATCACATGAATTCCTTCTCTTGTGTGTTACTGGCAACAGGTATTCCAAGACAATTTTCATCTTTTGTTGCAAGAGAAGCATTAGGATTAAAATGCCTAAAGAACAATCAGATTTACACGTCAGCTTGTTTTTCAGCCGAATAATCTTGGTTTTCCGATATAATACCTTTTAGATCGAAAAGAAAAAAGATTTCTAATTTGTTTTTTATTTTGTTAACTTTCATTGTAGGGTTGAATTTAAATAATAATTATTAATAATATTTTATTAAAAATTAATATTTATCATATTTTATATCTCTAATGTAATAAATAATTTATGTTTTAACAAAAACTTATTATTATTAGGATCTAAGAGTAACTATTTTTCAATAACTATTTATAAATATTAAATTTTATTAATTTGACCATTGAATAATATCATATGTTAAGTATGTATATCAAATTTTAAATTAATTAAATATTTATAAATATATAATTTTATAATTAATATTTATAATATTTTATATATATATATATGAGTTTGACTAAAGGTGAAAGAGAGAAAGAAGAAAAAGACAAAGCCATCCATATGTTTAAAAAATAAAATAATCTAAGCATGATTTTAATTAGACCTAAACGGTAAAACACAAAAACAAGAAGAGACAATACATTGATTTAATTTTATTTTAAAATAATATATGAAAAGGCACGAACGCTACACGTCGCAATCATTACAAATATTATTCTTTCGTTCTTCTAAAACTGACCTTACTGCCAGCACTGTAGAACTTGACCGAATATATGTCATTTTATTTATTTAGGACCGAGAAAAAACCACTAAATGTTAAATTAATAACAGTAACTTAATAAAGAATAAATAAAAACCTATTCTGAAAATCCAAACACGAAGAAGGGTCTCTTAGTTGAAAAGATGAAAATTTTCGTGGTAATAATAATAAACAAAAAGAGAGAAGTATAAGTTCACACTCGCAGAAAAACGGAACAAAAAGAGTAAAAAGAAAAAGAAAAACAAGGTGAAGGAAGGGTGGAATGGAGAAAAGAGAAATGGGAATCATGGAGAGCCATTTTCGGATCGATCAAAGTGGAGGAGTTGACCATTACATTTTGGGCAGTCTTCAACCTGTTTGGGCACCATGAAATACATGAGACAGCCCTTGCACCCAGCCACCACCAGAACATTTTGTTTCTCTATCTGACCCTGATAGTGCTCTTTAGATGAAGGGCATGACTCCGATGAGGACTCTTCGCTGTCGTACCAGCTCTCTTCTTCAGATTCATAATCCCTACTTACACTATATTCTGTTGCCCTTCTGGGATCCTCTTTTGCTTTCATCCCGTTCCTCCAGTTTATGTAATAAATTTCCCCCGTCTGTTATGTTAAGTAATCAATAATTCATTCACACTCACTTCAAAACATTATCTTTTTCACCGAATAACAAATTCAAGGACATTGAAAACGAAAAATTAACACACCCGTCTTGCCTGGATCAGAATTACAGAATATGAACAAACAGATAAATTAAAGGAAAACCGTACTTCTTCCTCCCCTTCTCTTTCGGTACGAGTAGAATGTATCTTTTATTTACAAATTAAATTTCCACTTTTTCCCCTCTTCCCAAATAACTGAACGGAAACCATGCTATCCATGATCTTCAGGATGTTCTAAGCCAAAAAAAAAGTTGCCCCTTCCATAATAGAGGAAAGGGAAAATGAAAAGCAAAATCCTTTTTCTAGGGTTGTCGTCTTAGCATGTGCATTGTTGTCATTCTTGGAAAGAAAGGCATTGGCTACACAACAACACAGGCAAGAAAAGAGGGAGACCCAAGATCCAGTTTCATGCACGGTGTGTATAATTTTTTATTTTATTTTAGAAGAGAAGAGCAAACAATAAGGAAAAGTTGTACATTTGAATAATAAAAGGGGAGGGGGGAAGAGAAAAGGAGAAGAAGAATGAACCTTTAAATCTAAGCATTGTTCCCAATGATAAGGGAGTGAGATGTGGGAGTTGAGCTCTAAAGTGGTGTCGGAGTTGGAGATATGATTATTATCCGGGACATCATCTGAGGTGGATGAGATTCCTATGCCTGCATCTGTGGCTGAGCCGTCTTCCCGCCTGCTCTGATGGTCGTTGTTGTTGTTTAAGGAACAGTTTTGAAGAGACCTCTCTAAGGAAGCAGTGATCGCCTCCATATTCGGAGCTGTCATTGTTGCCAACAGCAATTAATGAAAACCACAAGGCATGTAAATTTGTTATATCTGATAGGATAACAAGATACGCCGTTATTACCTGCGACCGAGAGCAAAATCGAATGAACAGCTTCACTAAAGTAGTTGTACTAACAATAAACACCTAACCCAGAGAGAGATTTTGCAAGCAATAGATATGAGAACGAAACTAGCAGGCTAGGGAGGGAGGGGAATATTGGCATTGTTGTTGATTTAAGGGTAGATATTGATAGATGGACACGCCCCCCATTTGCGCGTGTGGAAAGCTCATGTTAACGGGGTGGGGTAGCAGCTGTCAGCTCCAGGGAACCACTGTGGGTTGCATTTTGTCTCGCTTCTCTGCTTTGGCTGCAAACTTCACGCGCTTTTCCAGGAGCCTTTGCGTTCCACACATTTACTTCACAAATTAAATAACCTACAATAACATTATAAATGTTTACTTATTGAACTAACAATTTTACTCCATAATCTTCACTCCATATGTTTTGGAGTTAACAAAATTAATTCTACCGTCTTTCAATACGATTTAATAGAAATACATATTTTAATATAAATTTATTTATTAAAATTAATTTAAATATATATTTTTTCATTATGTTTAACATTTTAAATTCTCAATTTTAAAACAAAGAAGTTCATAATTTTTCAACAGATATCGAAATAATGAAAACATTGTTGTAACTTGCACCACTAATTTGCTTATTACAGCAACAAATTCCAATTTGCATAATAAAAATTATTAAAATATTACTTTTAATTGTATATACTTATTTTATGCAATTTATTAACTCTCTTTTTTTAATAAAGAATGCTCACTTTTTATCTGGAAAGAAAATAAAAACATGTACATTTAAATGAATATTTAGAGATTTTTGTTTTCTGTTTTTAAAAGCAGTTTTTTCTTTTTAAAAGTAAAAAAAGTCAAATTCATTTTGTTAATATAAATTTTATTTTCATTTTCTTCTTAAAACAGTTTTTTAAAATATAATTTTTAAAAATTAAAAATAAAAACAAAAATAAATAAACTTTTAATTTTTTTTTAAAAAAATATCTCATTTTTATAACGATTTTGTTCACATCGATTTTAAATATTTAAAAGTTTTTTTTTAAATATTTATTACATTACAATTTAATAAACACTTACATTTTAAATAAAAATTTATCGTTTTATATATTTAATTTCAATCTTATAAAATAATGTTAATATTTTTTATAATAGTAATAACTTATTTATTTTAAGTTATTTATCTTATTAGTTGATGCACTGTAGCATTTTTAAAATGTTATATTTTAAAATAAAAAATTATTTAAAGACTGAAATTTGATGTAATTAAAATTGACGACATTATATTTCTATTATAAAAATAAGAGTGTTATATTGTATTAATATTTTTGTATATAACTAAACTAGATCTGATTGGGAAAAGAAAAGAAAAGAAAAAAACATTTGTTTGTGAGAGTTTAGGGGATTGAGAAACATTGAGATATCCAAGAATAAAAAATAAAAAGGTAGAGGTAGAATCGCAATTACCGAAAAGAATGCCAGCACTTTCTTTAAACCGTTTCTCGTCTTTATTGTTGTTCTTTATTCCTTGAACAGAAAAATACTTACACCTAGTAATATTTGTGATTTTGACATTTTTAAAATTTTTATTTATTTTTTATACATAATTTTTTTTAAAATTTCTATACCTCTAGGAAAAACACGTAATTTTTATAACATTTGAAGATTAAAATGAATTAATCTAGATAAAAAATAACTCTCAAAAAATTACTTTTTTGTACATCAAAGTATAATTAAACTTATATTAAAACAAGGAAGAAAATAGAACTTTTTTTTTGTCAACTTCAATTTTTAAAAAATAATTTTTATTTTCAGTTTTTTAAATTAGAAAACAAAACAGCTCTCAAGATGTTTTGGATTTTATTTTTTCATTTTTTAATAATTAAAAACAATTTTGAAAATTAAACTAACAAACAGTTTTTTTCATTTTTTTTCTTAAAAACAGTTTTATAGAATTTTTTTAAAATATAATTTTTAAAAATTAAAAATCAAAACTAAATCAAACCAGTTCTAACATTAGATTTAACTTCCTAACGTAAACTGATAATCATCCCGCAAATTCAAGTATCCTTAATAATGTAAAGGTGTTTTTCAAATTAAATAAGAAAGAAAAAATAATATGCGACATATATTTAGAAAATAAGAATACATTTAAAAAATTAATTTCAGATATAAGTAGTTAATATTTAAGATTAAAAATTACTACAAATTAAATCAATTGAAGGTAATATTTTAAAAACTGAAAAAAAAAGTTTTGCAAATAAATATTAATTCAAGATTTTTAAAAATTAAAATAAATACTAAATAATGATAAAATCATTACGATAAAAGTCCGTGTAATTTTGAAGATTCCTAAGGTTGATTGTATGGGTAATAATAACAGGGTGTTTTTAATCATGATTTTGTATCCCCTATTTACAGATTGATATTTTTTATTTTTCTTTATCAAATTATTTAGTATTTTATTTTCTCTTAGTTATAAGAAGTTAAGAAAAAGTGTGAATGTATTTTCTCTAATATTAGGGTTCGACTACATAATGGTAAAATACTGTTGTATATGGTATTTATTGGAAAAATAATAAAATTTAATACTGAAAATCAATCATATCTAATAATATGTAGAATGGAAATGAGGTGCAGAGATGTGTTAGAGAGAGAATTTTGGGGGTGTGAGAATAAGAAAGTAGAAGAGTGGGACGCACAGAAACGGACACCAGCATGGCCGAATGTATCGGGGCTGCTGCTGCTGTGGCTGGTGGCAACTAATAGGTAAACTTGAGAAACTCACAACACGAGAAATGGAGAGTGACTGAGAGAGAAAATACATGGGACAATTAGATAGGAGGGAAAAAATAAAAAAGAATATTTGTGTAAAGGCGCATCTTAATTGATAAAGTAATTTGAATTGAAACATCACTCACGAGATGGCACAGCAGTGACAGCACTCATGACTCAACCCGGGCTCAGCAATAGATTTAAGAAAACTATTGTTAAAAGGAAAAGAAGAGAAAGGAAAGGTTGAGGATTGAAATTTGGGAGGGTTGGGGCCGTCCGATGAGTCACAAAATGCTAATGCGTAGCGGGGAGGCCCAATGCACATCCGTCTGCACTTATTCTGTTTGTGGAATCTGTTCTGAACTATTGCGGGTCATCTGACAGCAATGCCTCTGTAATGCCCCCACTCTTATTTCTCTCTCACCCCAATCCTCGATCATCCATTCCCTTCTCTTTTTACTTTTTACTCTTTTATATGTTTTCGACTCTCATTATTAAAAACTATTAGCTATAAATATTTTAAATATAAAACAACAAATATAATCATCATGTTATATTTTTATTATTTCTTAATTAATATTCTTAAAATTTTATTAACAAATTTGTCTTGCTCAGGCACTAATTGATATTCTTTTTTTAACAATTGCAAAACAACTTCTTTAAGATCTTTCTTACTTCACAAATTATTTACTGTATTTGTCTCGTACTCAAATGTTACATTCAAAATTTCCTCCCTAGCGCAATAAAATACAACACTACCTCCTTTTTTGCATAATGTAAAGCTCTGAGCATCACTCGGTAACACTTTATTTAAAATACCATAAATTTGAGGAACATTATTATTGAATAGGAATGTTTTCCGATAGTCGAGTAACGAAATAAAATAAATTATGGTAAGGAAAAAATATAATTTTATTAATTAAAGACTTACCATGATTTATTATAAGACTCAATAATTATATTTAATGAAAAATATATAATTCATTCTCTTTTTAACATAAATATGTATGATTGAACATAACAATAACCCTTAAATTCATCAATGATTCAATATTAGAATTTAATTAAAATACATTAATAGTGTAATTTTTGTTACATTTTTATTATTTACAGTGATGCCTGAAAATGAGAAGAGAGATAAGAAACTGATTTGAATATATTAATGGGTACTCGTGTTCCTAAAGAAAATAAAGAATAGATTTAGGGGAGAATTTTTAATCTCTTCCTAAACGAGACTAACGATCGATCTCCATCCTTTCTTTTCTCCCTTATTATTTGCTTTCCTCCATTCCCTTTGCTCTGTTCCTCTTGTTATCTCACTTATGTCTATTTTTAGTTCAATATTGTTCTTCCTTGCTTTGCGGGTTGTTGAAGAACTTGAGGTGTGGATTATTTTATGCCCATTTGCATTACTGAAGAATATTGATACATATATTGATTGTGATAGTTTTGCAAAATAGAGATGCCTTTTCCACTCATGAGCACAAGATAGGTGAGACAAACACAGCTCTCATGATCATAGAGATACATAGACTCTGTCTTTAGGAATGTTAAGTATGTTGTTGGCAGTGATTTCTTTTATTATAGTTTTATGAGGTTTTATTGTAGGTTTTTAAGGAAATAAAAAAAAATTATCTTTAGTTTTCTAATATATAAAATTAGTAACTTTCCAAGAGTGTAAGCCTTAGTTAAGGAGGGATTCTTGCTGTGCAGTTGTTTGAATTTGTTGATCTTTAACTCTACATTTTGGTAATTATTAATTTTCTCGTAATTTTTCTTTTGCTTTTATTTAAATCTTGCTTATATTGTCATACATGATATACGAGAATTTTAAAAATTATGAGTATAGTTGCTTTGTTAATTCTTCTTTACATCATAGCATTGCTTATTACATTAATTATAAACACTTCTTAAGTGTTAAGTACATACAAATTACTTATTTCCACTTTATTTTATTAAAGAAACTATTGGATGTTCTAGAAGAATAAAAGAGTATTTCTATTTTTTGTTCTCATTTTATCAATAGAGTTTGCAATTAGTTTCATCATTTGAATTTGAATGATGGACTTTGCTCTTTGCAAAAATCATTGGTTTTTTTTTTATTAAGAGTATTCTTGTATTAGTGTTTTGATTTTTAAAAGAAATATATTTTTTTTAATGATTTTCATCTTCACATATATTTGCTACATAAACTACTTTGGAATATTTTATGGATAATCTTTGCTTATTCATTTTAACTGCTATGATATAAGTATGTCTAATTTTTCACGTATGGTTAATTGTAAGTTAAAATATATTTAATCACTACTAAAACTTTCAATCATATGTGCTTGACTT